TTTTTAATCATTTGTTTGTCTCTTGTATCGACTGAGAGAATATAGTGCTAAACTCCTTATATTAATGAGTTAAGGCATCAAGTCCTTTTTCCCCCGGTGTTCCTCTTACCCCACCTGACCCTACACGTAAATTATCATAATGAAAGAAAGCCTTAAATGGTAATGAAATTTTAACCATTCACATCGGTTTATAATCACGCCGAACGCAATAAGATATTCAAACCGATCAATCCCACAGAAGAATTGCCTTTTGCATTCTTAACGTGAATTTAAGAATTCGAAAATAAAGAAATGAATTTAAGCGCCATATTCTGAACTCTATTATGACTAACATAAGACGATAGCTATTGATAGTAATCTGAATTGATTCAGAACCAATTCTCCGCCCGGTCGTGTCGCAAGTCATGGAGTTTCATTGTCCACATATTCCCTCTATTACCTGTAGTAATCAGTTACACCGGACACAATGGCTGTAGGGATTCAATAGGGACAGATTTTACAAGATGGATGCTATCGAATCACCTCGAATCCTCTTAACAGTGTCATTGATAGACGATCTTGAGTGGTTGTTATAGACATCATTTGGTTGCTTGCTTGTGCCATTTGTTCTAAGTGTGAAAAATCAGCAATTTTATAGATAAGGGCTTTGTAGTGGACTATCTATGATGGACCATTCTTATCGGAAATGGCATAGTTTTTAAACATTAAAAGTAAATCTTAATTCATTGCTGTTCATTTCGTGTTGCTCATTGTAATGTTATAATTGCTGCCTCCGTGGCCGAACGGTTACCATGCATACACTGCCACGCAGAGGTCCCAGGTTCGATTCCCGGGCCGGGAGAAATATTTGTAAGGCCTACATTTATTTGTCTCGTGAGTTTGGGTGTAATTTGTGGTTATCTATGTGTGTGTCCATGGCACCCCGCGACACAGGGTTTCCCTAGTGCGGGGCTATGTTGATTGTGAGCATTATTATTGTGAGCGTTAATTATTAACACAAAGATCGAACACTCAGAAAAAATGCCTTCGATCCGATTATAATGTTATCTGATGGTAAGGTTACCTATTTATATATCCCACTGTAGGGCACGGGTCTCCTCTCAGGGGAGGATTTAGGCCATAGTCCGGTGCGCCAACGCGTGTTGCAGACTTCACACGTTTTCGGAGGATTGTGAAGCTTCTTCGACGTGCAGGTTTCATCACGATGTATTCCTTCACCGAAAAGCATGTTAAATATCAAATTAAATTTTGCACACAAATTCCGAGAACTCAGAGGTACCAGCACGGATTCGTACCCATGAACTCTGTTTGACAGGCGGTAGGCGGCAAGCCATCAGCCTGTCACGAGTAATCTTAATTTTTACCAAAATTGTAAAAGATAAGAGTGAATTTAAGTACATACGTATGCATATATTTCACTCACTCTTCACTTCACTTCACTCTTTTCCCACATCGGTGCAAACAGAGGCAAAATCTTTCCAGTAGCTACCATCCTGGCACACATCTTTCGCCTCAACAACACGGATCAGTGGTTTCATGCATCCTCGTCGGTTAAGGATACAATTGACCTTACCTTTCTTTATGACATCCTCGATCAGGTCAAGGTAACTTCACCTTGATCGGCTCTTGTATTTCACCTATAAGCCTCATGCCACGCTTCTCGATTGGATCCAAGGTCAGTTGGTTATATTTAGCAGAGCCATTCCTTCAGTGGCAGTAGTACTCCGTACACGACCGGACTTGTGCTTGGTACAACTAAAGCAACTGTCCCGGTACGAAGTAACACTTTACCTCGGAAAAGATGCCAAGCTTCCTGCATTTTTGGCCATGAATTCAAAGTATCTGCCGAAGTTCAGATATGTAATATTAAAAAGGGAGGGGGGTCTGCGTAAAACCGAAAAAATTATCGCGTGGTCTACCAGACAAAAAATTTGGAAACCTCTGATCTACATGGTAACCTAGATTACATTTCCTTATTCTGTTAATCAATATACGTAGTTTAAGACCAGATACAATGAACTCATGTATGGTCAAAACACAAAGAACGGTCCTCCTGCCTTTGTCTTTTTTTTTTGTTTGTTATTTGTGGTCAGCGCAGTCTTCTTCTTTCATTCATCTCTATAATGGATACCTCGTTGTTTACTTCCTTTATACCCATTCGTCATCTCACATGCAATCTAACCATCTCTTCTGAGTCATATTTATGTATTGAAGTTATAAATCAATATGCATGAGTAACGCGTCTTGCGAGGTTTCTAGACATACATTAATACATATGACGCAGAAATTCATAATATGAAAGTCAATATTAGTCGCTAGTCAAAGAATGAAGATGATTCGGATCGCCAATTTGTCTACGAAGAGTTGTGAACTTTCTACTGATTAAGTAATTTTTCTGAGAACGGTTATCGCTAAAAAAATATTTGAATTCTTCTGTTCCATTTCGTAATCACCTATTTGATTTAGATTTTTTTTTAAACTAAATTCTTAAATTTCAACTGAGCTGTAATTTTAAGGAACGTTATATAAGTACTTTAATCTTACCAGACAATGTTTACCCTGTTAAAATTCCACTGTATAAATTCGCCTTTCAACTATTCAGCAGACAAAGGAAAGTTTTTGTATGATAATAGACTCAACAACAGCTGACGTGTATGTTGTTTTTGCAAACTTCACTCACGACTCCTCCTTGGCGAAGCCAGTTTTTCTTCAGGTCTGTTTTTGAAACTAAAGTTGTTATTTCTATGTTATTATTATATTTTTTCTATTTTCTCTTTTTTTTCTATTTTAGTTTCTATGTTCTCAGTCGCTTTTGTCTATTTTTGCAGAATTTACTTATTTTAAGGGCTTCGAATTTAAAAAAAGTCGAACATTGAAGGGGCTTTTCCACCGGAGAGGCGAAACGAAATGCGACAAGTCGAGAGTTGAAATCACGCCGGCCGATTTCCACCAAAAATTGCCATTAATAGCCATCTCGAGCTCACGCTGAAATTGTGGGTATTAAAATAAAAATTCAATTCAATTCAAAAAAATAAAAAATATAATAAAAATATTGAAATACCAATATAGTAAATGACTTGATTGATAAATTTTCAAAATTCAACTGCACTCTGAAATTATTTGCAGAAAAGCTATCTTTTTTTAAATCTTAAATCGCACGTACCCGTACGTAATAATCTCACAATTGATATCAATAGCCAACGTAAGCACGTGTGAGGCATCCCAATCGATAAATAGTATTTCCGTTGTAGAGTTCAATAACATTCTGTGTAGGCAGCAATATCGTTCAATAAAACACCAACAAATATTTCAACCCTCCTCTCACACGTCTTCGTCAAACGAAACCAGTTACACCAATGATGTGCTAAGAGAGAATTGAAATTTTGCCCTACAAATTTCTGCCCTCGTCTCACCTCGCCTCGGTGGAAAATCATTTTATAGTATCACTTCAGTTTAGACTTTCTCAGTTATTTTGTCCAATACTATTTGATAAAAAGAATTAAATTTGACTAAAATTTGATTTTGGAATTAAAACAATAAGTGAAACACTGTCCGATCAGAGGATAGGGAAAAAAATCAGTTTGTTTTTTCCCCTTTTTTATAATAACATTTACTCTAGAGATGAAACGGATAGTGATGTGGCCGAATCCTGGATATCCGGCGAGCACCTTGGCCGGATAGCCGGATATCCGGCCGCCGGATATCTGATCCACTGCCGTCAACATGTCGCGACCGGTTTATAGCGCGCATCGCCGTGATTGATTGATTGGTGAATGATTGCACTTTTACATTGACGATTGTAGTCACTTGGTTTTTATAAAAACGATTAATTTATTCAATAATACAAACAAATACGTAACAGAAAAATGTAAACAGTGAAAAAAATCGCAAATTTGGCAATATTTTAATATCGTGCTGTTTGTTTCTTGTGCCGAGTGCAAATTTCTCGCGGTGGAGAAGGAAAATAGCAATCACATCAATATTTGGCTATATTAAAATTTCTAGTTGTTATAAGTATAAGCCTAGCACTTGATACGTCTGTTATTATTTTGTTTCAATTTGATTTCATTAATTTGTTTGTGATCTAACTAATTCCAAGCCAGATTTGACAAATAACAAATTTTACCTACTTACGGTTTTATTATTGTAGGTAGGTTTTGCACAATGTATTTGAAGATCGCGATCCTTTCATTTCGTCGTTTGGCACTAACAAGTAGTACTTAAAATTTAAGAAAGTTTGCAAACGTTTATATGAAAAACTGTCCTCTGAAGGTGGTCTCGTTCATGAAAATAAATAGAACCAACTTTTATAAAAACTGGTCTTCATCCACCATAATTTGCCTTTATTGAAATTTGAGTACTAAATTTACAGGTAACGTTATTTAACTTCATAATTCTTTGAATTACAAGTAATAAACAAAGAGAATTGTCAACGATCCTGTAGGTGCTGTTTATCCTATTATAATCATCTATACTCAAAAAATCACTTTTTCTCAGATTGAAACAATTGGATAGTTACCGATATATCCGTTTCATCTCTAATTTACTCCTTAACAATATACCAAGCAATTGAACGGTTATTAAGACTTTTTCAATTTATACTTAACCAAAATAAAAGTAGTAACTCTCTACACTCTTTGAAGTGCGTCCGGTCTATGACAAGTGCAAAGAACTACTGATAGAAATTCGACAAAATACCAGTAGTTCTGTCAACAGAACTGTACAACAGAAGTAGTACACGTAATCGTAAACAGCAAGTCGACTACTCTTCCTTTGGCAAAGCGAAGTAGTCTGACGAAGTAAACACTCCATTATTCACTGAACAGATAAAATGTCGATGTGCGAAGAAACAAACTTATTAGACTGGCAATTGCTAGCACCTAATAAAAACTGAAAAACGCTCATTACCAACGATATTTCTATCTTGAATGTACTATTTTTAGCTGTAAATTAAACTTTGAAAATTTTCAAAGGCTTTATCGTTTAATTGTACAACTGAAGGTACGTCATACGAAAACATAAAGTCAATTGGAACAATAACCTACCCATCTTTTTTGTTGATCTTACTAATCTTCCGTTTAATCCTTTCGGTGTAAGCGGCAACAATATTAGATAGCAGGGGGAGAGCAGATGACTTTTCATCATCTCGTACACCGACTTCGGTGCAAAGTTGCCCTCTGGTTTTCTTTTCAGTTGGTAAAGCGGCCTCTGATGACATCACAGATGAAGTGTAGAGGTATCCATTCCACTCTAGATATTCCCTAACAAGTTCGTTGACGAGTAATACTTCATCTGTAGGAAGTGGTGGTCCGTTCTTTTGGTCGTTTGATGAGGTGACGATTCGACGCTCTTGGAGTGCTTCGGTCACTTTTGTTCGTACCTAGAAATACTAGTACAGTTAAATACTGCACCTGCTACTGCATTATTGTTTTTCATGAAGTAGTTTCTGTGCCTGAAAACTCCAATTTAGAGTACTGCCCAACAGTGCACAAACTGTACGACAAATTGTGAATTTCAGCACAACTGTGTACTCAAACCATTCGCACACTTTTATTTTTGTAAATAAAACAATTCCGAAACTCGCTCTATTCTTTTCGTAATTGACTGTGAATTAACTTTACATCTCTGGTTCTAAAAAACCCCTCCAGGAGGAAAATCTTTGTGTTACACGCAATGGAAACGGTACTGCAAACAATGACGACGTACCCACTATATTTCTCATACAGAATAGAACCCAAGGTTTTCGAGAGTATTCTCGTAGATTACTTGACGAAGGGGATGAGCAAACAACACAATGCCTTCTGTATATTTCATGTGTACATTATCCCTTGTAGATAAATCTACGATATTATCACGCCATACCGTTCAATTTCAACAGTTATTTAAAGCCTGGTTGAAAGAATGTTCGCCTTCTTTGCGGGAGATTCTGAGGTCGACTCTTACTTGCACTACTGAAATCTTTTCTAAACGTACGCAGTTTAGTTTACTGATAATGACTTCTATAGTAATGAAGAAAAATATCATAATTAAACCTGCATGTCCAGAGACCATTGTATTGGACAATGGCTTAAAAGCTTCTAGCCCAGAATGACAGGTTTTCAATAATACAGATTCCTAGTTCGCGAATCTATTTGTCCTTGTTTGAAAATCTTTCTTTTCGGGAACCTGTCCTATAACTGGAAATTTTGCTTTTTTGTTGACCCTTAAAACCCTTAAAGCTTAAAATTCGCTCCTTAGAGTAGATCAAAAAATAATAGATAGAAAAGGGGGCACTATAAGACTTAGTAGCCTTGGTAAATGAAAAATTTTCAGCTTATTTTTTCGAAAACTATCGCCGCGGAGAAAAATTAATAATAACAAAAAGTGTTTATTTATATCTGTTATATCCAATCTATTCGAAACAAACACTAAAAACAATTTAAAAAATTCAATCTTAAAAATGCTCTGTCGTTTCCATTCTTACAGTTCAACCTAAATGATCGTAATAAAAAAGTATAATTTTCATACATTATATCTATCATAGAAATATCAATACAACTATAAATTGCAAAATTATGTAAAACATTGACCTACCAACAAATGTGAAATCATAATGATAATTACCTCCGCCTGCAATTTATTTAAATGACCGCTTTTCTTCAGCAGGTCCTTTATAGCTATTAACAGCTCTTTCTCCGTAGCCGCTTGTTTGTCGCCCATCGTAGATATTATTCAAAATATTTTTTTTTTTTTGATAAAATTATAAAACTCCATAACAACACTGTGACAGCAACGAGATTGAAAACGTCAAAGTTTGGCATCGATGTTTGTTTACTTTTTGGACTTTTGAAACAAGATACTTGATATTGTTTGGCTGGTAATTGGTTACAGTCTTCATGGGCATTAATATTGTCAAAGCATAGACAGACAAATATATTATTTTAAATAGTGTTCCTGTTATATTGAATATTCAACACATTAAATAACTTCAATTAATTACTATATTCTGAGAACTGTTACTTACGAATTAATGGAACTTATAACATAAAACTAAGAAAGTGCTTTGGTACTTTTGGGGCTCTCTAGATTTGTTGCTATTCACTTCGTTCCTATTATTTTTTCCTACATCTTCGCAACATTAACAAGCAGGGCGTTCTTTCACCGAAGTATACTCCACTTAACGCGGAACATAATTTTGTATAATTTTGGGCATAGCTGAAATAATATAATAAGTGGCAGACAATTGCACCAAATACTTGACCTCACTGCAGGGACTCCCAACCAGCATTAGACTAAACCCACACACTAAAAGAGATCCAAGCCTAGCAGTGGATATATTGTTTGATCCAGATGAAACCAGGATATTCCATGTACCAGTGTAAAGAAATTTTGGCAGTAATACCTAGTTCACCAAGACCAGAACTAAACTTCCTGAATTGGCCATCGATTTAGCAATCGGCGTAAAAGTACTTGGCGATTGTTGCTCACGTACAACGAGCACGGATATATGCTGGGGACAAATTGATTTTTTTCACTCTTCCCTACCACAACGTTACCACTGGTTGGTATAAGTGGAATATCGTGTCCACTAAACCATGTCAATAAAATCTTAAAATATACATTATAGTTTTCGAACATCTCCATCGTTCGATATTAATGATTGCTAGAGTTTAGACGAGAAAATTAAATACGAACTCCGTACTAGATTATGATGAGCTATTAGGGTCGTGTTTTAGAGATACGATGATGCCATAATGGTAACAGCGTAGACTCTATTGGATTTGTAGTTTATAGTGTCGGAAATATAACGCAGTATACAGCCGCGTACGCTTACTTATTTGCATGAAACATTATTGCTAGATCAATTAATCACTCTCGACTCTAATCCACTAAGACTCTGACATAATTATACTAGTAAATACTAGTACTTTAGTACAACTCCTCGAGAGAAGTAAACTTTGTTGTTGTCCGTTTCAGTACAAATAGAAATTACACATATTCTTTTTTATCGCATCTTTTTAAATAAAATGGGTTGCACGAAAGAGCTTCACCGCACGACGTAAATCCTTTACTTTCCTTTTCCATTCCTTTTCTATGCCTTTCCTGTTAGTCTGGCGCACCTTGAGCAACAATCGTCGAGTACCTTATGTCGATTGACAAATCCTTTCACCACAATGATAAGCATTATAGTGTATACCATCGACACGATAAGAAGAAGAAAACGAAGAATAATAGAATTGTTGCTTATGTATATCAAATTTAGCACATAGAACGAATGAATAAAATAGATTGACGAAAGAGATGTAAAGAGCTAACGTGGAATGCAACATTGTAAGAAATAGGTCACGAAACATGTTTTCAAATCAAAATGAGATTGTTCATAGAAAGGCTGGAGGCGTAGTAAGACGAATAAAAGGGCGTGTATGAAAAGATTGATAAATATTTGAAAAGCAAGTTAGGTTTGCCAGGTTCGTGCAAAGTGGTAATCTCTGCATATCCTAATGGGAATTCAAGCCCATGAGCGTATGTATAAAATAACAGTCTAATGGAATTTGTGCGACTCCACCAAATATTTATTTTGGCAAATGGGTTAAAAGATTACCAATTTGTCATGGTGGTATTATCAGTTTTATTTCTTCTAGAGTATTTAATGTATATTATCAACCTAAAAAACCCAAAAGGTCTGTGAAATTTTTAAGTGGTTATTCTAACTATCAATACGAACTTTTCCTATGGAGACCTGTATGAAATCGCGAATAAAAAAATCATTTATTCCACAAATTTTGGTCGATTGAGTGCAAAAATCTCGCACATCTTGTGAATTCACTATGTTGACACAGCATGCTTTATCGATACCAAAATATTTTTCTATACTATTCAATTATATTTCAAATTAATATTTATACCCGTATGAGAAAGCTAAACAAACTTTCGCCAAATATTCCTGTTTTTCCGGTTACCTAAACCATAACCCAGTTTCTACATACAACGGTAGAAACTTATTTACCTACTACATAGGGTGCACTATAAATTTCCGGAACTGCATAAACAATATTTAAAAAGTAATTACAACATTTGAAAATGGAACTCTTTGACAGTAGAACACAGTTTGTTTCATCTGACTGTCACTTGTTTTTACATTGTAGCGTCATTTTAGAAATTGGTTGTCTACATCACCATGGATTTAATTCGAGAAAATTTTCGTAGTATGATTTTCTATGACTTCAAGTGTAACTTAACAGCTCAGTGGAGCTCGGCTTCAAACTGCTTTTGGCGATAAAGCACCATGCAAGACGACTATTTATAGCTAGTTTGCAGATATCAAACGTGGTCGGCTGAATCTCAGTGACGAATTTCGTGATGGTCGCCCGTCCACTGCTGTAAACAACAAAAACATCGATGCTGTGCGCCGATGATCAAAACAGACAGACATGTGATATACCATGGAATTCGGGCATCTTTAGGCATAGGCACGAGGCAAATACAATCAATACTACACAAACATTTGGGTGTGAAAAAGCTATGCTCTCGGTGGATCCCACACAATTTGACTGACACTCAAAAAACGAATCGCGTCACTTGGTGCAATGCCATTCTTACCAGATTCATCGAAGGGGCGTCAAATTTAGTGTGGTACAGAATAACAGGTGACGAACATGGATTTATAGTTACGATCCCAAAACAACGCAGCAATCGAGCGTATGGGTATTTCGAGATGAGCCGAAACTAACCAAAGTGACGCGCGTGCAAAGTGCGTCTAAGCGGATGATTGCTTCTTTTTTAAATAAAACTGGACACATGGCTACTGTTGCTTTGAATAATCGTTGTACCGTGCATAGTTATTGGTACACGACCATTTGTTTGCCGGAAGTTATTGACAAACTCCGTAAAAATAACGGCCAGGCAGACAAATGAATTTTTGAAGGTGAACAACGTTGACCTTATGAGCCATCGCGCGTACAGTCCCGACCTGACACCATGTGATTTTTATTTATTTCCAAAAATTAAGAACCAGTTACGCGGTCAATAATTTTCTTCACCTGAAGAGGCTGTCGAAGAATATGAAAAATATGTTTTAGAGATTGTCACGGAGGAGTGGCACAAATGTTTTCAAAATTTGTTCATTCATGTGAAAAAGTTATTAACGCTAACGGAGAATATTTTGAGAAACAATAAATTCATTTCTGACTATTTATAGTATTTTTTTCTTATTCATTTCGGAAACTTATAATGCACCCCACGTACTATTACGTACAGCAAGGCGCTGTCTGTACACACGCAAATGTGTGCGTGAAATGCTATGGTTATCCATCATTTCCTATCACTGAACTACTTATTTTCTCGATTAACGTGCCCAGTGAATTTGTAAGAGCAAATCAATGTATTGATAATTACGTATAGTGATTTTATTCATTAAATATTAAACAACAGTAAATTACGCCAGTTAAGTTAAATAAGGTCAAATAAGTAGCTTAAACAAAAGACTGAACATAATAAGTGAAACACTACTATAAATGACCTACACTAAAATATTTCCTTTTAATAAACAAAAATCTCTAAATAATCGGTTATGAAATCGCATTATATTCAAAATTTAAATATCAAAATCGTCCTTAACGAACGCCTCGCTGGCAGCCTTGTTGCCATTCCGTCAAAACGCAATGTGACTGTCAGTATGAGGGGCGCCGTGTGTTATCTAAAGCTACAGAGGAGCGGACAGTGACCAATCTCGCTATTTTTTTATTCTCTGCCTACACTTATAGGCCAAGCACAAAAAAATCAACAATAGCATGCTCAACAAGCGCTAAATTAAAACAAAATAAAGTTAGATAACTAATCTTCAATATCTGGTTATGTTTTTCTGTTGCTCAACTCTTGTCAACAAGTAACCTAATTATTGTCAAGAATATTAAACCGCGTGCCAATATTTTAAAAACGAATCAAAATCAGTAGAAATAGAAATTTTAGTTGTATGTCATTAATTAGCAAAGCTTCTATTACTATCTTATCGCTTACTACAAAAGGCAGCCCAATTATTCTATAGCAGCGTCGCTGTTCGAGTTATGATGTGACTAAGTGACAAATCTTGCACCTGTCGGTAAGTGTCACGTTTGTCCATTCGCCAATAACTGAGGGGCATTGCCACTGCACCCATCATCCCGTATCATTTCACCAGTACCTTACCCTTCAAACCGAAACACGGTAACGCTCACATTATACACACTTTTGCATTTTAATATGCTACTGTGTACTTATGTATGTGTATATCTGTAAATGATGTTGCGTTTTATTTTTGTTATTAAAACAATTATTTCGAATACATTAAGTAAGTAACGGTTATTGTTAAAGAATTCTATTTCTTAATGATTTTCACTTCAGATTCTTCAAAATATATTTGAAATCACAGCCGCTAAACATTTATTACAAATATCTCCTATGTAATTAAAATCCCATAAATTCGTACTATTAAATAGACAGTGAACATTTCCTTTTATATTTTCGTCTCATAAAATATCTAAATTATCTCCACAATCAAAATAATTACTCGAGAATGAACCTTAATTAAATACGGCCTCCACGTGCTCCATTTGTCTTCCGAATGCACAAAGTTTTGTTTTGATAAATCATAATGAAATTTACGCTTCTCCAAGAATAACGTATTGTTATTTTTGTAATTAAGTTTATGTCTCGTTATCTGTTGTTCTCATAGCTATAATCACTGTTTAG